GTTATACCAGACTGCATCCTTGTTATTTGTTTTTAACCTAGCTAAGAGAACGATAATTTGTCACGGAATGTGTGCGACGTAGAAGATGACAGCGACCTCATTACGACTACATATACTGTATTAACAGTCTTCGATAGCTTAAAAATAGCTCGCTTTTGTTAGTTATAATTGTTTGCCAACTAACTACATTTTATCCCACAGTTTTATTGTTTTTTTCACAAAATAAGTCAGTTTATTTACTGATTGCTTCCTTAAAAGATGGAGCCAAAAATATTTTGTCTTGCCGACTTCCGTTTCCACAAATCGCATAAATCGATATAATGTCGCAGTTTGTAAATTACTGCCTTACTTACAGGAACACTGCGCATCTATTTTACATATCTCTCTTAAAAATTAAATTGAACAAATAAGTATTGTTGTATATGTATATCACAAATAATATTTAGAAATAAAATCAAACTGCGTTTAGCATAGTGAGACTACTCCCATTAAATACTTATTTTTTAATAATTGAGCATTCTTATCGATATTTTCAGTAATTTTATAATTCATATCGTAAATTTAATTTTCAAATATCGATATGCACTCACCATCCCTAGTAGTGGACTGCTTGGTAGCACTTTTTCGCGTGTGTTTGGAGGGAAGCAGACTGGTATCTTATACATTGCTTAATTTCTTTCAGTTGTCGCAAGTCACGCCAAGTAAAATTAAAAAATATGGTAAGTATGTCTTATTGAGTTGCGGAATGATGACTGAATTGAATTTTTGCAGTCGTCAACAGATATAGCAATGGAGTCGAGTGTTGAGCTCGAGAGCGCGACCGCGACCGGCCTCATACCAATCGGAATTGCTAACTCGAACAATGTATTAAAAAAACTTACCCACGCCAACGCCAGTGGCGGTGGCACGGCATCTCCTAGCCCTGGCGATGCAAGTGGTAATGCAGACGAGATGACTTCGAGGGACTATTATTTCGACTCGTACGCTCATTTCGGCATCCACGAAGAAATGCTTAAAGACGAGGTCCGGACCGTCACATACCGTAACGCAATGTACCATAACAAGCATCTGTTCCAGGGAAAGGTAAACTATTTTAATTGGAGTATGACACAAGTTGGTATGTTGAGTAATTTACCAAAGAATAATGTACCAAAAATGGATGTTTTCCCTAATCCAATATTGATATTTTTTTTAAAGAAAAATACATATTTCTGGTTGTTCACCTTGCGAAAAACCAACAAGTTATTTGAATTGTTACAATTTTGCATATTAAATACAACATCCAACAGGTCTCATAACCACATTAAGAATGAAATAAATTTAGACGAGCTATACATTAAATTGTTTGCAGACTGTTTTAGATGTTGGATGCGGTACTGGAATACTATCCATGTTTGCTGCTAAGGCCGGAGCCGCCAAAGTTATTGCTGTTGACTGCTCCAATATAATAGAGTTTGCTCGACAAGTGATTATTGACAACAATTTGCAAGACGTAATTACAGTAGTCAAAGGGAAAATCGAGGAGATTGAACTTCCAAATGGTGTCGAAAAAGTGGACATTATTATTTCAGAATGGATGGGGTATGTGATTGTTAATAATAAACTAATATTAACTAAAATTACTCCATCAAAACTTTAGGTACTGCCTATTTTATGAGTCAATGTTGGACACGGTGTTGTATGCGCGTGATAGATGGCTAAAGCCGAATGGTATGATGTTTCCTGACAGGGGCACACTTTACATCACAGCTATTGAAGATCGCCAGTATAAAGACGAAAAAATTAATTGGTGGGATGATGTGTATGGCTTTGATATGAGTTGTATACGTAAGGTGGCGGTTACCGAACCACTCGTTGATGTTGTGGACCCAAAGCAAGTGGTTTCCACGGCGTGCATGGTAAAGGAGGTAGATTTGTACACAGTGCAAAAAGCCGATTTAAACTTCTCTTCAAAATTTAATCTTACTATCAAGCGTAATGATTTTGTGCAAGCTTTGGTCACATACTTTAACATTGAATTCACTAAGTGTCACAAACGTCTTGGATTCAGCACTTCCCCTGATTCCACATATACACATTGGAAGCAAACTGTCTTCTATTTGGATGATCACATAACTGCCAAGAAAAATGAAGAAATTAATGGAACGTTTCAAATGAAGCCAAATGAACGCAACAATCGAGACTTAGATTTTGTCATCGATATAAATTTCAAGGGCGAGTTATCTGAAATTCAAGAATCAAATACATACCGCATGCGCTAGAGTAACGCCATTTTACCAATGTGGCCTTAAGGCTACTTGCCTTCTTTAGACAGAGGGAATTTAATGATGACTAGACGTAAGATATAATCCAGTGCGAAATATGCAACGAATTTGTGTTGCGTCTTCAACTAAGTTTAAAGTGTACCTTTTTAGTATACATTATATTTTTACAAGTGTGCGCCTGTTTAAATTATGATTCAAGAATACTTCTAAGAAAATTGTACAGTGGCACATTAAGTCTCACATAAACAAAATAAAGTGTGCGCCAAGCACACAATTTTACTGGATTTTAAGCGCCTTCGCTGTTTAAATGTTTTAATTGCTTAAAGATAAATTGTGTGCATATTCATACCCTGAACCCATTTCGTTTGTATTTATAATGGCGTCGCTCTTGAAACGCTTGTGAGCTAGAGCCTTGAAACTTTGAACGTATATAGTTTGTGGAATCGGAGATGCTTCCTTTGGGCGGTTACATACATTTCCACAAAACATACCCACGATAAATTTGCTTACGCATCGTCTCATACCTTACAGAATAATTCAGTTTCGACGAAAAAAAATAGAAAGATACTTGATTTGTGTATACTATTCTAGAAGCTACATGTCATACTAGGTGACTCTTGTTCTTAAAACCAAAGATATTTGATCAAAAAACAGGACTTCGATATCGATTTTTATCGATTGCTTGAAAAAGGGACAAGTCATCATTATCAGAAACAAGCATACTGCGCGGGCACTAGGAGGACATACGTTCAAGTCACTAGCTCTTATGTTGACTAACTGACTAAATAGCGACAACACTCAGCCCAAGCCGTACAAGCTGACTAATTGGCAGTCAAGGCACAGCCCAAGCCGTATAAGCTGGGATTATGATATTTTTACTTTAGTTATCTTATGTGACAGAGGAGCACGCTGATTCGGGGCTCTCGCCATTTCCACTCGCAAGTGTGAACAAATCGCTTGAAACAGTTGCTTGCAATTTTTTGTTTGCCGTCATATCGAACTCACTTTCAAAGATCATTGTTCAAATTAATGTGAGAGGTATTTCCCACTTTTCAGAAATTCCACCCTGTGCAGGAAATTATTTAGGGAGAGTTGTACAGAATGTCATTCCTATGCATTTATAACAGTGAAGATTTGACACCATTCTTATAATAGATGACAGGAAGTCACATACGATATGCAAGGCACAACTTCACATTATCGACAGACTTTAGTACACGAGGGAAGGTCATTTAAGAACATATTGCAGAGTATTGGTTGGAGATGACTGCTTTGGGGAATCCCAGAAATCAGCTGGCTACATTTAGAATATGCATTTCGTAAAAGAACCCTTTGAGCTCTGTTACTCAAGTACTTTAAAACCCAGCTAAGAAGAAGGAAGGCATAATATGAATAGTAACAAGGAGTGCTAAACTGCATCGATGCCCTTACTTAAATCAGCATAGATGACGTCAGTCTGCATTCTTTCCTAAAACTTATACAAAGGAATACAAGAAAATAAAAAATCCCTCTACAGATCTATTGCCTTTTTAATGAAAATCCCAAAAAAACCTTTGTATGTAACTTTTTTGTTTACCATCCGATCGGCCTCAAATTTATTTTCAAAGGTCTTTGTTCAAATTCATTTGAGGGGTGTTTCGCACTTTTTGGAAAATGCATCCCTCCTTGGTGGAAATGGGGGTCAAAAATTTGGTGGGTGACGTTTCGCCCTCAAATTTATTTCCAAGTATCTATATGAAAATTCATTTGAGACGTGTTTTTCACTTTTCGCAGAATTCAAACTTCTTCGGGGGGAATGCGATTCAAAGATTTTTTGGGCGAAGCTTTAAGTTGTGTCCGATTTGCTTCAAACTTATTTTCAAAGCTCTACATAAGAATGTAATGAATACGTATTTCAGCGATTTGGGAAATTCCACCCGCAACAGTGGTATATTGGCGGAAAACGGTTGTATGAAAGTTTTTTGTTAACGATCCGATGGGCCTCAAACTTATTTTCAAAGATCTTTGTTCAAATTCATTTGAGGGGTGTTTCACACTTTTCGAAAAATTCGTTCCTCCTTGGTGGAAATGGAGGTCAAAGATTTGGTGGGTGACGTTTCGCGCTCAAATTCGTTTCCAAAGATCTATAAGAAAAATCGTTTGAGACGTGTTTCACACTTTTCGCAGAATCCAAACTTTTTCGGGTGGATTGCGACTCAAAGATATTTTGTGCGAAGTTTTAAGTTGTGTCCGATTTGCTTTAAGCTTATTTTCAAAGCTCTCCATAAGAACTTAATGAATACGTATTTCATCGAATTGCGAAATTCCATCTGCAACAGTGGCAAATTGGCGGAAAACGGTTGTATGAAAGTTTTTTGTTTACCATCCGATCGGCCCCAAACTCATTTTCAAAGATCTATGTTCAAACTCATTTGAGGGGTGTTTCACACTTTTTGAAAAATCCATCCCTCCTTGGTGCGAAGATTTGGTGGATGACGTTTTGTGTTCAAATTTATTTGCAAAGATCTATAAGAAAAATCATTTGAGACGTGTTTCACATTTTTCGCAAAATCTAAACTCCTTCGGTGGAAAATGCATTTCAAAGTTTTTTTTTGTGAATTTTAAGTTTGTTTGATTCCCGTCCGATCAGTTTCAAAATCATTTTCAAAGCTTTTTGAAAACATTGATTTTATAACATACGTGCCACGGGCAAGACCGGGTAATAGCCGCTAGTATTAAATATAATAGATGTTTAAATGCATGGAAAAATGTTTACTTAATTCAATTACTTAAGGTTACTTAGTTCAAATAAATGCTTGTTTTGATCCATTAAACACAATTTTGATTAAAACTAAATTGTTAGTTAATGTTTTTTATATCGATCACGTGAATTGGAACGACTTCTATTATCTCTAGAGAAGCTTCGTGGTGTCCGAGAACGCCTTGGTGAACGGGATCTGAAAGAGTATGTGCAGGAAAACAGTATTATTAGAACACCAATTAATATATTTAAAGTAGGTGCCGTTGCTGGAAACAATTAAATCTGTATACCCTGAACCCATTAAAAATGGGAAAAAAGGGTATAATGTATTTATGCAAATGTATGTAACAGGCAGAAGAAAGCATCTCCGACCCCATAAAGTATATATATTCTTGATCAGCATCAATAGCCAAGTCGATGTAGCCGTCTGTGCTTATGTATGAACGCAAGGATATCAGAACCTATAAGAGCTAGAGACTTTAAAGCTGTAAGCTGTAGGTCCTCCTAGTGCCCACGCAGATCGAGATTGTTTCCGATATTCGATAACTTGCCCCGTCACCTAGTAATCGATAAAAATTGATATCGAAATCCTGTTTATTGGACAATTTCGGTAAATAATATGAGCTAGAGTCACAATTTATATGCAATTGACTTTTTGAGAATACACAAATATTCTATATTCTATTCTACAATACGATGTAGTGTCGAAAATTTCCATAAAATCGGTTAAGTTATTTGCGCACGTGTAAGCAGCAGCTAGCGCAAGTTCCATGAATTTCTGTATACGTGTACACACACACACATTCATGCGCGTCTGCTTTAAAGTCTATCAACAGCATTGCAATTGCGATTGTATTGTTTTCTGTGCTGTTATTTTATTTGCCTTTTTTCTCATTAAAGCTCAGTTATTGGTGTGGCCCTTGAGTAGAGGCAACGGCAAGTGGTGCGGTTAGTTGCGAGTTTTTTTTTCTTTTCATTTTTATTTATTACTATTAAATCAAACGAACGCGTAGCGCGATCTGCATTTGGTGTTGGAAGAAGAGGGTTCAGGGTATCCCCTAGTCGGGAGCTCCCCGCATTAAAATACTGCCAAAAAACTTTCAGTACATTTTTAATAGTTCTTTCAACATGTATTTTTAAATATTTTTGTCAAATATAAACCTTATCGGATGAAAATTATATAATTTATTGGTGCGTCCAGCTCGACATATTGGTTTGAGGTTTGAGATAATTGCGTTTGAAAGTTTATATTTTAAATGTCGCGTGCCGAGAAGCCTTGCACAAAACTTCTAAAATAAACTATTCTTATCGCACATTGTCCTTCAACATGTTATTATTCAGACCCTAAAGCACCATATTAAGCAAACAGATCGATTTTTTTGTAAAGCTTAGTTGTCATAGCGCCTTAAAGTCAAACAAATAGAATCTTATTGAGTATGATGTGGTGATTCCATGTACCCAAAACTGGATATTTATTTATCTATTTGTTAACACCTTCATGTCGAAATAGGCTGATTTTAAAAAGTATTTTATATACGTTTTTATACATCGAAAGACCTAAATCATTGAATTAAAGTTATCAGTGTTTAATTAAATTAAATGCTACATTCTTAATTTAAATTTTATTACTGTAAAAGGTTTTGCCTTTATCACAAGGTATATTCTTGTTGTGGTCATGGTTGCAGTGCTGCAATTAATTAGTGACGCTTAGTTTTTTTTTATTAATCTTGTCATCTACAGATCTGGAGGGGCGAGATTTGTAATATTATATTATTATAAGTAGTGTTTAAATTTGAGCCATAAAAATGTCGGTTTTGTCAACAGTTTAACAACTACTTAACCTTACAACTATAGCCAAATAACTGTCTACACACCAAAATATATTTTTAGATGCAAAAATAATGAAAAGGAACTGATTTAAGTAATCTAGATCATTTACATAAAATGTTTGCATTTCCGAAGTGTACACTTCTCTGATCGCATCTTTTAACAATCATTTTTAATCGTCGGACAGACATGGATGTCAATCGATAGCAGTAATATTTTTATTAAAATAAACATGACTTTATAAAATTACCTAAATCGTCCATTGCCGCGCCCACCACTATTGCCGCATCCTTCGGCAACGCCACGAAGAGCTCTGTCGCGAGAGCATCCTGAAGACATTACTACACGGATTGCAGTGCCACAGCAGCGTGTTCCATCAAGTGCTCGGGTGGCATCTTCAGCATCGCGCCGATCTTCGAACTCAACGAATGCAAAGCCAGGCGGATTGCGTGCTATCCATACGTTACGTAAAGGTCCATATTTATTGAATGCAGTTTCAATCTCAAATTTTGATGCTGATGATCCCAAGTTTCCAACATATACTTTGCAGGCCAAGTCCCATTCCCGATAGCGTGACATACTGGCCAAGTGTTGATATCTTTTTATTTTTGACTATGTACACCCTTAAAAGGGAAATGAACACACCAAGGCAGTTAAGAAGTAGTAGAAGGTTTAATACTCTTGTAGATACATGGCTTATAGTTGTTCAGAATGGTGGAACTTGTGAATGTTTAGTTTGGTGAAACACAAAATATGTTGCCATTAAATGCTAATTTTTCGACAGATTCCTTTAAAGTTTTGCGATTTTGCTAAGATTTTTCGGACGTTGCTCCCGCTAAATGCGTAAAGGTATTATAAAAAAATATATACATATATATTTCTATTCCAGCGTCGCGCTCGCATCCACCGAGCGAACTACTTGCCATCGAATCATACATTACAGCCATGCGAAGAATTTTAATGAGAAAACAACTGATCTAAATTAGCAGCACATTCACACAGCACAGCATACAATACAATTCGATTGTTTGTATGTAGACTTTATTGCGCTTTGCGCTAGCTGCCATATGGCTTGACAACGGTCTTATTGCGCCCTAGAATATTCGCAGATTCACAAAAAGACAACAGCTTTGAAATTGTCGGTTAATTTTTTGTGTATTACTTTTATTGGTTGATTTTGGCCAACTAGCCAAAATAGTGACCCTGAACGTCAAAGAGAAACATTACATGGAAAACGAGCACTACTTTCTGAAGTCCAAGTCCATAAGGCGCACATTTCCTGACTCTGACGAGTTTTTGTAGCGACAACCATGGCGACGCAAGATAGCGATCTTAATGAAGAGCTTCAAGAATTAATGGCGCAATATTGTCGCTGACCATCGCAAGTGCAACTTGGTGTCGATACACTTAGAGAAGGGTCTAGCCCTCACCATCGAAGATCTCATCACACATTCACCTCTGAATAACAGATACGGTGTATTGAAGAAACGGGTGTTCAAAACAATTGCGGATTCAGAGGACTCAAAACTAAAGAGGCTTCTGCAGAGTCGCGACATGACAGGCATGAAGCCGTCGGAAATCCTTACACACATGCCTCGTTTAGCACCCGCTAGTAGCTGTGATGCCGTTGTATGCACTCTATTTATCGCCCAGATTCCAATATCGGTTCGACCGATAATTTCTGTCGGCGAGGAAACTTACCTTAATAAGCTGGCAAAAATAGCAGACAAGATGCTGGAAACTAGTGTAGTGGAAACAACTTACGTAATGTTGACACAAACTGCAACTGCTGAGCAAACCCAGCAGAATCTTGACGCGGTCAGTAACCATAGCCCCAATTTAGCCCCATAAAGTCGATAACAGGACGAATCCCGTAGATAAAAACAGTCATATGCACCACGCCCACCAAAGTCCGAAAACGAGGAGAAGGATGGAGACAAAATATCGCTCTGCTTCTACCACAGTAGTTTGTTGATCGCTCCCGTAAATGCCAACCGAGCTGCCCAAGTTAAAAACAGTTAAACTAGAGCGGCTGCCGTTTACTCAGCTGAGGGGCGGCAGCATTTCTACGACCAGTCACCATTCAGCACATGCAACGGGGGGCAAGACCACCGGCAGTTCAATCAGCTCTCAGCATTTCAAAGCTGTAAATAATGCACAAGAACCACACAGCCGTAGTCGTAGCGGTCAACGCGACCATCAAATTATGCGAAAATCCTTTATCACATGCAGTTCGCCACTACAGCTGGATCACCAGTAGCAGATCGTCCACCGCGACTGACGGGTGAGAAACTGGCATCTGCAAAAGCATAAATCCATCAACTGATCGACGAAGGAATCTGTCCCTATTCCAAAAGTCCATAGCGTAGTAAAGACCATGGTAGCATGGTAGTACATGGCGAGCATGTGGCGATTACAGGAATCTAATCGCGATAACAAGTCCTGAACATTATCCGATACCGCAGATACTCGAAAAAAAAACCGTTTACATGGTAAACACATTCTCCCGACTTTGGTCTTAGAACGTGCATACTATCGAATACCGATGGCACCAGAACACATCGAAAAAACATACAGTTTGATTTGATTGAATTTGTTTACATGCCGTATGGATTCAAAAATGCAAGGCATGGACCAATTTTTCCGATGTGTCGACTATGTGGTATGCTACATAGATGATACCCTGATCATGTTAGTTGAGGAGCACAAGCAACACGTGAACAATGTCCTACTAATCCTGCCAGCAAACTGCCTCAGTATTAACGACAAAAAATTCAATTTTCAACAGACTGAGGTTTTATTTAAAAGCTATACAGTAAATGGCAACCGTGTTAAACCTCCAGATGAACACATCCGATGAATCGGAGAGTCAATTGGGCTTTATATTGCAGTACTCTACAACTATCCTACATGTAAGCGGCAGCGACAACGCCCTCTCCAGGTTCAATGCCATAACGATGAAAATTAATATCGATACAAAAAGCATTGAAGCGGCCAAGCAACGGACAGCGAGCTGACAAGTATTTTAAATGAAGTCACATCGTTACAACTACAGTCAATGCAAGTCAACAAAAAAACCTTTCTGTATTGCGACGTATTGATAGGAACTTCTAGATTATATATTCCACTTCCGTTGAGATACGCCGCATTTTCAAATGTTCACCAACTCTCCCAAATCACGGTTTGGGGTTCCTTTGAAATTCACCACCGATCAAGGACCCTATTCGAATCTGCACTCTTCAAATCACTGGCCAATTTACTGGGAAGTGGACACATCCACACGACAACATACCACCCTCCGTAAAGCGGCATAGTCGAACGTTAACATATGTCTATGAAAGCCGCTTTAATGTGCAACCCGCAGACCCCGTCGACCCAACTACTGCCAACTTTAATGCTTGGTCTCCGAACGTGTTTCAAGGAAGATCTTCAAGCATTAACTGCTGAAATATTTCACGGGTGCTTCGCCTTTCCAACCAATATTTTTGTGGGCTGAACGCACCCTCGAATCCATGTCAGTCAGTTGCGCACCAAAATTCAGGCAACACTTTCTGGACAAAGCCATACCTGAATGGTCACATGCATTCGTCAGACGCGGTAAATCAGCTGTTGTGGCCTCCATACTCAGGACCTTATGAGGTGTTATCCAAGCCATCAGATCTGGTCTTCGTCGTGCGCATTAATGACATAGAATCACCGTTGTGGAAAACAACCTGCATTTATAGCAATTAGAAAGGCTGACGAAGCCGTCCCCACGAATGGCAAAACTGGTTCCGCCGATTACGGAGCTTTACAAATCAACGTTCCATCACTTCACCCTTATGAGAAGCAGCATAGTACTGGCCCTTACAATCTACGACTTGTCTAGGGGGGAGTACTATGGCAGCCCTAGCTAAGATCTATGGGTCACTATATATCGGGCCTGCCTCTGAGCTGCCCATCACTGTGGAGGACTGGAGTCCTGGAGCGCATCACATTATTTCACAATTGTTATCGTTTAATGAAATAACTAATAATACAACTATTCATTACCCAACTAGCCAAAGGTCTACTACATTGAAACAATCCGCAAAAATCGAGTTCTTGTATGAAAAACTTTTTTGATTGTCATGACCAAGCTCGGCATTTTTAGTTTCACTACGCTCCTTCCATATGAGCGAAATCTTATGAAAAGTAGTATCTTGAACTCCACGTCAATCTAAAAATATGTTTAAAATCCATTGAATACGAAACCAAATGTTGGGATCAATGATTTCCGTCCGTGTCTTGTGGTGAGAATCTCGAAGCCGAAAAATAAAATTTTGTTTTTTAAGCCTTTGACCCGCATTTCCCATTCAAGACCGGTAGATTTTGCAAAAGAACTAAGCACAAAATATTTGCAAATTTTGCTTATCAAATTTGATAATAAACAAAACGAGAAGGAGGAGCTATCTTCGGCACGCCGAAGATTTAATACCCTTGCAGACCCAACCCTTTCATAATGCTCATAGTGCTTTGCCCGTATCTAAGAAGCACAAGGAAAATAGTTAATGGCAGTTAATTAACCGAGTAAGGTTAAAATGTCTTAAAAATCAAAAAAGTTTTCCATACAACAACTTAATTTCGACCTATCGTTCCTATGGCAGCTATATGATATAGTTGTCCGATCTTAATAGGATTTTGCATATATATGAGGAGCATAGTAAAACTAATAAATGCCGAGTTTGATCAAGATATCTTTAAAAACATAAAAATTTTCCATACAACAACTTAACTTTCGACCGATCGTTCCTATGGCAGCTATATGATATAGTGGTCCGATCTTAATAGGATTTTGCATATATATGGGGAGCATAGTAAAACTAATAAATGCCGAGTTTGGTCAAGATACCTTGAAAAACAATACAATTTTCCATATAACTTAATTTTCTACCGATCGTTCCTATGGCATCTATATGATATAGTTGTCCGATCTAAATAGGATTTTGCATATATATGTGGAACATAGAAAACCAAATAAATACCTCTAAAATTTCAAGCCTCTAGCTCTTATAGGTTCTGAGATTCTTGCGTTCATACATACGGACGGATGGACGGACATGGCTAGATCGACTCGGCTATTGATGCTGATCAAGAATATATATACTTTATGGGGTCGGAGATGCTTCCTTCTGCATGTTACATACATTTGCCCCTTTTATCCATTTTTAATGGGTTGAGGGTATAAAAACCAACTACATATATCGTTGCATAGACCAAAATTAGTATGTTGTTCATGCGAATGGTAATTAATCATTTAGCAATAAAAGACTTGTAAGACTTATCAGGAAAATTTGAGCTATGACACAGATTTGAATTGTAGTCGCCGCTATATTTATGCCTTTAAATTTATATCTGCGATATAGTTATCAATAGAACAGGATCCTTTGTGGTTAATAGCCGGGATTTGACGTCTGTCTAGAAATCAGGTCTTTGTATTGATTGTATTGCATTGATCTCCAAGGGGAGTGGAATGATGTCGGGTACCGCACAGAAAAAGGAGTGAAAGTCTAGAACTTGTCATGTGGGTGGCAAAGCAAAACAGCATAAATTGTTTGAATTTTAATTAAAAAAGATATTACAAATAAACGAGAGTCAAATAATA